AAACTATATATAGAAAAATCAATCATTTTCATCATTCGTTGACAATCCTTTTAGATGGTTTGTTGTAGAAATAATATCTAAATCGAATTCACCGTATTTAGTTAAAGCTTCAAGTTTTGGTTTATCGTGTCTTACATTTTTATTATCATCTTCATCTTCAGTAATAATGATTTGGACGGCATTATTATCATTTTCTGATTTAGGTATCCATCGAGCTCGAGTAACAGCACAATATTCAGCATTTTTCCAATTTGAAGTTTTAGCACATGCTTCTTGAATCACATTAAAACACCAACCATGAGTCACAATAATCAAAACAATATCTTTATCTTTGTTATTATTTAATGATATATCTTTAACATAAGGTTCAAGAATATGTTCCATGGACGAGGTACACCTTGTTAATACATCTTGTATTCCCTCGGGATATTTTGGTAATTCGGAAGAAACTGGTTTATAACTCCAATCGACTTCAAATGATTTTTGTTCTTTTTGTTCTTCATTTTTAAATGATTGGTGTAATTCGTCAAATCGTAAGGTAACGATACTATTAGGTACAGGATTTGAGAAATAAATACTTGTATGCCATTCGGATAATGAAGGATCTATGCATAATTTAATATCAAAAGGTCTTTTAATATTTTCAGCGGCATCAGATTTTTTAGAACCGGCTGCTATTCCTTCTGCTATACCAATCGCGGTGTCGGTTGTTCTTAGGAAAGGGCTTGTGATTATTATGTATTCCAATTTATTATTGTGATTTTCAAGATAGTGGTGTTGTTAAGCAGGAGGAGAAGTATGTGTGTATATAAAGGATTTTTTTAATACTAAAAAAAAATATAAAAAATATTAAGTATTAGAATATTTTTGAATTTTTTGAATTTTTAATTTATTGTTGGAAGGGATTGTAATGATCAAAAAACATTCAGCTCCTTTATATATTTTTTTGATTTTTATAATAACAATATATTTCAATAATACTACTATTGTTTAAAAACGTGGTATTTTTTACATTATTATTTCTATTATTTATTTTATATATTTCTAAAATGGCAATATATGAAAGAGAACACCATTCATTTTTCTTAATATGACTGAGTTACTTCTCCGGGCCTATAAAAAAAATTTCATTTATGAAACAAAATTAATTACACAAAGGATCTCTTTGTCTATCCTTATTTTTTGTAACTTTTTTCTACAAAAGAAATAAATATCTCTCATACTTTATTTTATTCAAAAAAAATTTTTTAAAAACGCTTTCTCGTCATATCATGTCATCAAGCCCCCACTATAACAACAACAAAAACTTAAATTAAAATTTACCATAAATATAATATATGTACATCTTTACAAATATATATTATCTATATATATATATGTATGTGTTTAACGTATTGTACGTAATATAATATAATAAGCACATTATAATGTATAATGCTGTTGTTATAGAAATTTCTTTCAGAATTCTGGTAATGCCTTCCATAGAGTCGGGGCAGAAATTCTAATTATATTTCTAGAAATTATTATTAGTGTAACAACCATTAATGATATGATGTAACACACACGATCTCATTTCTTT